CAAAGGTGTTACCACCTTATTGCTTTCAAAGGAAACGGAGAACTTGCCTTCAAATATAAATTTGTAAGATAATATGTCAAATTCTTCCAAGCAACGACATATATTAACAAATAGCGAAATAACCTATGAAGCTGTGAATGGTAAATGCTATGTCAATATTTAAGTAATGATAGTAGGGAGGTCACAAATGAATAATACAGTTACTTATGTATGTTGAAAGTCAACATACAATGAGCAGTATGCAGTGAATGTCGGATTCTCCCTACGACCAACTATATGCATACATACAACTGAATACACCGGTCTTCTGCAAGCAAAGGCGAATAATACAAAATAAATGTAAGTGTTTTTCGAGCAGCGGAAGAAGTTCTACCATACACATAACATGTTATCTACAAGAAGGGTATAAGGAGCCTACGACAAGCACTTATATATTTATGCAAGCTTTTAATAAGGCAACAACAAATACATTGATCCTCTACCAACAAGAGCAAAGGATGCATAACAAATACAAGTGACTACAACTCTCTACAAGCTGTCATAGAAGATTCGTTAAGTGTCCAAAATACCCTCGCACAAGTACACCGTAGTTTGTATACACATAGGTACACTAAAAGGGGTAAATGTAACCAAACACCCGCATGAGCCTCGGCGAGCGTGTTATTGGTACACACGTGACGTTCAGGGATGCTGCGCGGGTTATTAAATTTGAACTCGATCCTCCTAAGCAGATAAAAAGGAGTAGACAGGGTATAATTATAAAATGCCCCCCAAACACCCGCATGGGCCCCGACTAACGTGTTATTGGTATACACGTGACATCCAGGGATGCTGCGCGGGTTATTAAATTTGAACCCGATCCTCCTAAGCAAATAAAAAGGAGTAGACAGGGTATAATTATAAAATGCCCCCAAACATCTGCATGGGCCCCGACTCACGTGTTATTGATACACACGTGATGTCTAGGGATGCTACACAGGTTGACAAGTGAATTCAAGTTCGAAACCGATCCTTCTATACGGGTTAATAGAAGTCGACAGGGTTCGAACCAACAAACAAATATATGGTTGTGGCGACCGTTATATTGTCTTAATACATTCATATTAAGCCTTCAAGGCCTATGACAATGAGAATTCACTATTATGGGCTTAATGACTACGAAACCTGATCCATGATAGGGTTGACAGGGTTCAATCAACAAATAAAAATGATCCCAAACACCCCGATGATGGCCGTGTTGATTGCTTATCTCAACCGGATGGGTTCACAAACATTTTCAAATGACTCCCAAATATCCAAATGTCTTCCAAACTCCACCCACAATGCCAAAATCCAACAAATCCTAAAATCCAGATATTTAAAATTGAAATTCAATGCTATCAATCACTTAAAGCAAAATCTATCCACTCTTCGCAACATTCTGCCGGGGTGGACAAATCAAAATCTACTTCAGCTCACAAAGAGCCAAATGTCTAGTCAAAAATATCAGTAGGATCCATTCTCAAATAAATCTCCTGCTAGTAAGGACGTGGTACGTGTCCTCTAAACGGCAGTTTTGCTGCCAAATGGCATTGCAGGTAAACGGTTATGACCCGGGGGCCTCTGAACCGAGTGGTTTTGCCGCTAAATGGCACCACAAATTACCGGTTATGGCCAGCGCCGTTACGTTCACAACATGGCAAAACAATTATTTGAGATGGCATCACTTGCTTTACTCGGGTCCATCTTATTTGGCATGTCATCATGTAATGTATTATGATAAATTATGTGATAAATATATAATAAATTATTTCTTTTTTTAGAGGAATCATTCATAAAATATTTGGAGAATTGTTTTGATTGAATTTAGAGTACTTTATTTTTTTTTATTTTCCTACACGTGAGATCCTCTTTACAAGTAAATGATACTTGTAAAAGAATTACAATGATGAGATAAGTGCAAAATTTACAATTAAGTCTGCGCTCGTCTCCCTTAAGGTTGGCTGACCTCCCTTTCCTCCTCTCTCTTCCCTTTTCTTCTCTTTTTCTTTCCCTCTCGACCCCTCTTATTCATGGATGATATCATTTTGTCCTTGCTGGTTTTGGATGAATTCTAGTACAAGCCTTTCCCTCCCGTATCAATCTACAACAAAGGTGCAAATTGATATCAAGTTTATCAAGCCATCATAATCTGTGGCTTCAATTAGGCTATTTACACTTTTGTGTCCACATCACTTAGGCCTCTTAAATTATCTATTGTTAGGGATCTTTTTTGTATCAACTGTCCTAGGAAATGGTAGACGTTGAAGAGAAATTTTTTGAATAAATCTTGATATCCTTTGTTTCGATTGCATCTACACACATTTAGTGATTCTGAACCTTGAAGGCTGATCATGTTGAGCAAAGTTTTCATGGCTGTAGAGAGAAAATCAACCACGGCTCCCTCTCGTTTTGCCCGCTCTGCTAGGCCTTTGTCCTAGCTCTCTCCGGCGTGGTTTCTGCTTGGTTGGGGCTACTCGCTTCAGTGGCGCCGGCATTTTTAATATCTTACAAGGAAGTTCTCCTTCCTTTCTGGTTTTGTTTTTGGCTTTTCGTTTGTTGGATCATTTTTCCTTTCCGCCACGTGCCGGAATGGCATTGAAGCTCTGCGACCCTAATTTTTTAGGGGTTTCATCTTATTCGCGTTCTTTTTTAGATGTTCTTGCGGGCTCTTCTTTTGTCACTGCATTTCTGGAACTTAGGGTTTCCTCATTTCGTGGCTTACCTTTCCTGTGGATCTCGGAACAGGAGATCAATGCTTTGGCTATCCCTTTTCAGTTTTCTTTAGTTGATTTTTTTCCCTCCAAATGGCCATCTGTTGACTCCATTCATAGATTTTTCTTTAATATCAAGCTGAATGGGGAGTTTTCGGTCACCTTGCTGGACCCGTCGCATATCCTTGATATTGGTGTTTAGTCGTCAGTCATCCCGATTTGGGTATTCTTTCCTCAATTGCGTCCTCGCCTCTTTTCTCCCCGCATTCTTTACGGTTTGGGCTCACTCTTTGGCAAATCTATGAAAATTGATTTTGCTACCTCTATCGGTTCCAGGCCGTCCTTAGCTCATGTTTTAGTAGAGCTGGATATTACTAAATCCTACCCTGATAAGGTCTGGTTAGGTCCTCAGAAGTCTAGCTATGTTCAACAAGCGGTTATGGAGGATTTCCCTCCTTTTTGTGCTTCGTGTAAGAGTATAGGTCATGTTGTTGGCAATTGTCATCCTATGGCCGACCTATCTATTCCTAACAAGGTTTCAGTCACTCCTGAGTTGATTATTTCTTCTCCCCCTATTCAGTCGTTGCTTACTGTGGAGAATTTTTCGAATGATGTGGTTGTTGTAGATTTAGACCCTGCAGATAGTTTGGCTAGGAATGAGGATGTTCTTGAGGGGGTTCCACCTGCTATTTCTAATCCTTATTTAGCCCAGGTGGACTTTGTGGTGGTTGGGGTTGTACCTGTTACCCAAGTCCCTAGGTTATGTGTTAGTGATGCTGTTGAATTAAATTGTGGTGTTAATTCTAAACCTACTTTGTCTTGTGTGTTTTCTGTGCCTGCCCCGTGCGGTTTGGCTATGGTTGATGTACTGTGTGTGGTTGTTGGTCAGTCTAGTTCTTCTGTTTCTCCTTTGCGGGATTTGTTTGGTTGTGGTGATCCTTCCCTAATGGTTCTCGTGAATCGGGACGATGCCTCCTCTTCTGTTAATTTGGTGTTGGATAAGAAGGTTCATGCTCAATCAGATTTAGTTTCTAATGACATTTTTGAGAGCAATATTAATTTTGTTTATATCCCTATTTCGGTTATGTCTAATGTTGAAATGAAAGATTATGTGGCTAAGTTTGTGAAAAACTCTGTTTTGGTTCAAACTGACTGGTTGATTTTAGAGGATTCCATTTCTTAACTTCTAGTGGGGAAGAATCTGATTATCATGAATTCGAGAAGGACCGCTTTGCTGTTCGTGGTGTTCTTAATGTGAGTGGCATAAGCAAAAAAAGGAAAGGTAAGAAGAAATAGAGTTTGTGATTTGGCTTATGTGGTTCTGTCAGTGGTTTTTGGTGTATTTGTGGACGATGATAAGGCCCCTGCTTTCCCTTGTTGGCTGAGCTGGCTAGCAACCTGGGTGCCTCGGCTTTGGATTATGGATTGCTGTATACTGTCACCTACGGATGGTCCGTGCTTGCTGCTAGGCTGGTGCTGGGAGCCTCTATTCCTGAGTCCCTCCCATTGCTTTATTTTGATATGTTTGGCTTTTTTGGGATTGTATTGTTTTGTATCACAGGCTGTTGACCTTTAGTTGTTGTACCCTCTCTTTTTTATTCAATAAATATTTTTCTGTTTAAAAAAAATGTTGAGCAAAGATGCAATCAAAATGCACCAAATTTGATGTTGTAAATTCTAATGAATGGAACAATTGTGATATAGCCAGACTAAATACTTCATAGCATTTGAAGGTTTAAAGAGGTCTGCATGCTAGTTTGTTTTGTTGGTAAAGATTTTGAAAATTGTTGCCAATGTCTTCAGCTAGGATCCCACCTACATCAAATTTATGTTTCAACACTCAAACCTTCCTAAAAAAAGTTTGAACATTTCCAATTTTGTTAATTTCTATTTGAAAATGTTGGGATGAAAGTTTAGTTGGATCTCCTGAATACATCTTTAGAATGGCATCATAGATCTTTATTTCTCCATAGTACTAAGTTGCATATTCCCACAACTAAGTTTTTTATTTTATTGATGACATCGCTATTTGGCACCTTCAGTGGTATTAAATATTATTTGGATTAGGTTATTCTTTCTAAATGGATTGCAAAATGTTGACCATTAAGCAGCATTTGATAGTTTGATATATTTGTATGTATTAACCTTCATTCCATCCTATGTTTACTGTATAAGATTCCTCATATATTCCTTTGGTTGTTTTGAATTTACATCTACTGCAAAATTCTGTTGATTGCGACGCTGTCTAATTTTCTATTATATTTATAGGGTGGTTATATGCTTTATCGTTTATTCAAGAAACAAGAAGGGAAAGGCTTAAAATGTAATGACGATGACATGGTGAATCGAGGTTATTCTCAGACCAACTCAAAGTCTTCCCCAGCTGATATAGAGGATTGCTCAGCAACCGTTGAACAGTCCTCCACTGACCTTGATTCCTGTGGTGAACAATCTTTGAACCAAATCATTAAGGAGCAACCAGCAGCGAAGTTGAGGCGGCTTGCTGAGAAAGTTGATTGCTCGAGGGATTCAACTTGGGAACCAAAAGATGGTCATTGCAATGCTTTTGCAAATGTTGGTGTTGCTAACAATAACGCTGATGTCATAGGACCAACAGTGAGAGAAATTTATGCTTTTCCCTTCAGATTTGTGGATTGAAATTCACATCATTTAGGTTTCGTTTGGGACGGCTTTTTTGCTGCTTCTTAAAGCAGCTTTCAAGTACAAAAATTTCAACTTTTGTACTAAAAAGCTGTTTTAGTAAGCAGTAAAAAAACAGTCCCAAACGAAGCCTGATCAGTATTGTAGAACAGTTCTGCCTAAACGTTCTTGTGTGTTGATTTACTCTCATGTTTCTAACTTACCTTTAAATCTTGTGAAACTTCAGGTTGATCCCTTGATCAGTATTGTAGAACAGTTCGGTGAACCCTACAACGAGCAAACAATAGAGCAAAGTTTCCCCAATGTGGATTCTCCAATCCCGTACTCGGACTGGTCAATGTACAACATGAGCTATGAACCAGACCCTATTGATGAGGTGTTGAAAGCGATGCTTGTCCGCCAGGACAAAGATGGTGAAGATGATGCTCAACTTATCCTTGCAGATGAGTTACTAGCGAGGCCCATTATAGGAAATTCTCAAGGTTTTGCAAGGGAGTCTGTGTCAAGCAGCGAGTTGGAATCACAGAAGGTAGTTAGTATGACCTTTGAAATAAATTTTTTTGTATGCCAAGGATCTGTAACAAACATTTATTTGATTCACAGGGAGGTGCCTACACCGAGCTTAAGAACTTACAGGCTTCTATTCCACATATTAACAGTTCTCATGAAACTTCAGCAGCAGGACTGCGGTATGCAGTGCTCTGTGATCAAACTATGTTTCCGCAATATGACTCAGTTGGCTATGATATTTTCTCGACGAACTCCAATGCAATGTCACTTCAGGGTGATTTTATCGTGTCTAGTGACAGAATCATACAGGAGACAGTTACTGGCAATTTTGATGGCCCTAATCTTACTGTAAACAGTATTAGAAGTGAATCGGCCAAGCAATTGCAGTCCAATAGCATGGCAACAAAGCAGGGCCAGGCAAAGAGAAGGCTAAGATTGCAGAAAAAAATGTCTGTTGGAGTGCCACAATCCCGTGAAGCAGAATTATCTAATGGTAATGGTGATCACAGAATGAAGAAGGAAATTACAGAGGTAAGAGTTGCACATGTTTTAAAGAAAAAGATAGTTAATGCTGGATTTATTTGTATTAAAAGTCTTGATTTTGGTGTGCAGATGATGGAGGAATCACAATTGGCTATTGGTGAAGAAAATGTTGAGAAGTTCAAGGATATATCGATTCATGGTAATTGTCATAAAGCATCGAAATTAGAATCATTCTTTTGCTTGCTTCTCTTCTGATTTTCTGTCTTTTATTTTTTTTTCTTTGCAGGTAAGGCTAAGCTGAGATTGACTCCAAAATTGAGTTATGGATCTTCTGGAACATTAAAGAGCACTTCTTTCTCGCCATCAAATGTTTGGAAGGCTGGTTCTATGATTGCTTATATGAGGAGATTGGCTTTGCTGGTCGTTCTTGCTTTACTATTCGTTTTTTTATGGAGATCTGTTGCTGTTCATGTTATATAGATATGCCTAATATTTTCGTGTAGTATTTGTTGTGTTTATGTGAATATTAGTAGCATAGTCTCGTAATGGAAAATTTTTCTTCCATTCATTTGGCTATTACCTGTTTTCAAGTTCCATAATTATTGTGTAGAGTTCAGCCTGTATCAAATACAAAATGAATGGTTTGCAACCTGTTAATGATTTGTGTTCCTGTTGATATGCTTTTCTTCTTAAGAGCGGCTTAAATATCGTTTTGAGGAAAGACTAACTTAAGTTGGCTTGATTCTATATCAAATCAGGCTAAATTCTTCTGCTTGACTTGATTTGAAAATTCATTTTTTGATCAATGGAGTTATCTTTTGCTGGCTATTTAATTTAGCTTATCTGTTAGTTTTAAAACGGCGGCCATTTGATGACCCATTTAGAAGAATAGATGTATTAAATTTGATTTTTATTATTAATGATAGAGGTAGACCTAAAAAAATTTGGTCAGAGAATATTAGAAATGACATTTCTTTATTAGTTTTAAATGAGATTCAACTCTTAATAGAAAGTTATAGAGAAAAATTATTTACGTAGCCGATTACACGTAGTGGGATAGAAGCTTGATGTTGTTGCTGTTGCTAGATGTTGTTGTTATTGCTATCTATTAGTTTAAGGATTTGTTTGGAATAGTTGTAATTATTTATAAAATTCATTGTAAAGTTGTTTGGGATAATAATTTAGGTATTTTGCTTGTCAAAAGTATTTTTTGCAGTGAGAATATATTAAAAAAAGGGTAATCAAATAAAATTGTTACTGTTGTTTGTCAAACAGAGAAAATTGTCCCAAATAGACTTTAAGGTGGTTTAAGCCGATTATTTCTTCTGAATGCTATTTTCAGGCATTTGCTAAGGCGGTTAAGGCCTTAACTTGGTTGAGGATGAAAGGAAAATATGAAATTTTGTTGAAATGTAGAATTTATGGATTTGTAAAGGTCATCAGTACTTGTTTGCATTTTTACCTTGTGTTTGGATGTTAATTTGTTATTTTTATTTTTTGAAGAGGAATTAATTTTAGCTTTCATTTCTCAAGGTTAATGTAGAGTAGTCCTTATCATTCGGTAATCTTTACTTGTGAATTATAAGCCTCACATATTCATATAAGTTAATGATGTCATTCAAGTATTTTTGTTGACCTCTATAGGTATTAAAAAAAGAGAAGAGCAAATTAAAAAAAAAAAATACAAAATACCTGTGCTGAAATCCTACCAAGGCCCTCTGGAAATTCTGCATAAATCCTATAGTAGTATGCAAATAGCGTCGTTGGCATCATCTCTCGGGATTCGCTTGTTCCTTAGGAGCTCCCGCCCATTTGTGTCGTTAAAATGAGAGCGAGTCTCACTTGTTCGCCTCCTCTCCACAGGCGACCAAACTTTCGTCGTTGCTCCTGATTCTTCCCGTAGCCCTAGCCGACATGGACGAACCTCTGCTCTAGCCGGACTCACCCGTCGAGCCTTTACTTGTGATGGCTTCTCACCCAAGCCGAGAGAGAGAGAGAGAGAGAGAGAGTCCAACCTTGCCAAACCGACGCCTCTCATAGATAAAGCCGCCTGATCTCCTTGCTCCACGCCTCTTGTTCTGGATATATTATTAGGTGCGGAGTGCAGACGGGGAGAACTGTCTGCACACTAGTATAAAATCCAGCTAGGTACCGTTCGGTACCGCTGGGTACCACTAGGTACCGCTTGGTACTCTGTGTCTGTGCAGACGGTGCTCTCCCCATCTGCACTCCACACCTAATAATTATTCCTTGTTCTGTCACAGGTCTTGAACTAGGCCCGTACTCTCTATCTACAGCTCTCCTCTCTGTCGCAAGTCAAATCGAGCCTTACTCATAGTCAATTGACATATTTAGGTAATTAGGTGTATATGTTTTATCTTATTAGTTGTAATTATTAATTGCTATTACTATTACAATTATGGTTATTATTATTATAATTATGGTTATTATTATTATGTTGTTTGTGTGTGTTGGGAAAAAAAAAAAAGGAAGAGACTGCAAAAAAAAACCATTAAAAAAAGAAAGAAAAGGAAAAAGAAGAGAAAAAAAAAAAGAAAAAAATTTGTATGCATTTTTTTCATCGTCATCACCAATCATCGCGAAGGTATAATGCTCTCAAAACTTGTGAAAACCTATTTCAGCGCTTGCAATGCGACGAACAATCACCTATGCATGCTTTTCTCTAGTGTGATAGGAGGGAATTCGTTTTGATGCTCGTGACGAGGCAGACAATCTCTTAAAACTCCATTTTTGGTGTTAGCAGCGCACCAGAAAATCAACTCATGTATGCTTTTCTCTAGCGTGGTGGGAAGGGAACCCGATGCGATGCCTACGACAAGACGGGGACAAATATAATAATACTTTTTTCAAACAGGTGCCCGAAGACCCATGTACGCCTTTCTCTAGCGTGGTGGGGGTTGAAGACTTTTGGCCGCAGTGTCCCATGACACCAACCGTTCACGCTTTTCTCGGCAGGAGGACCAATTTTATGAAATTTTCTCCAAACATAGGAGACATCGGGAGATTGTCGAAATTTTGTCTGAAAAATACAAGGACAAGGACTTGAACTCTAAAGGATGACAGAGGACTTGAACAAATGAAAGGAACTCTAATTCGATTTGAACATTAATTGAACTTTTAAACATTAAATTCAAATTTGAATGAACATGAACTAGTGGACTTAAACATGAACTGGACAGATATTTGGACACAGAGCAAATGATTAACAAAATATACTTAATCTAATGAGTTCAAAGAATAGTGTTAGAGAGAGAAGTTCCCGAAAAGTTAGAGAGAGAAACTTCCTTTTTTCAAGTTTGATTCCTTCCGCTATTTTGGTAATTTTTTCGTAGATGGCGGGTGAGGTGGGGGCAACCACCACTAATCGCTGGAATCTTTATGTAAGCCCATCTTCCTTATCCAGTTCTCTTAGTTATCTCTATGGTCCTAGTAGATCTCTCAAGGATGGGTCTTTGAAGATAAAAGAACCTTCGTCCGTCTTAATTAAGAAGTCGCCCCTTGTTCCTGGAAAAGGCAAAGGAATAGTTAATGGAGTGACGATCAAGGCTACTCGATCTATTGGATGCATTACTCCTCCTAAAAGTTCGAATGATTTCGAGGCATCTTTGTCTTCAGATATGAAGTTATTCGTTAATAGGTTTAGTAATAACAACGCCAAACCTTTTTCTCTGGAAAAAGGATGAATCTTTCGTCAATACGAGAATGAACAACCCTTCTGATGTTTTTGTAAATGCTAAAGGAGAAAATCTTCATAAGAATTCAGAAGTTCTGTTGGATCAGGGTGTTACTCCTGTTCAATCTACTAGTAACTTGTGGGCTAGGTGACCAAATATCAAAGTTAATTTTTCCATGGACGATTCTATTCTTTATGAAGATGGAATGGCTGTCAAGTTGAATGAAACAAATATTAAGGCTAATACTGATAAGCTTCAATTTTTTGTGGTGGGAAAGGTTTTTGGGAAGGAGGTCCCTATTCATTTGATTGCAAATGAGTTACGTCGACAATGGGTTCAATTTGGGATATTTCACTTAACCATTCTTGGATTAGGATGGGTTCTTTTCTCTTTTTCTTCTACAGAGGTTGTAGATAGTGTTAGAGGGAGGACCTTGGTATGTTAATGGGCACATAGTTGGCATAGATAAATAGACTCCTCAATTTTCTCCTTCTTCTTTTAAAGGATTAATTTCTCTAGTATAGGTTAGGTTGCCGCATTTACCATTGCTTTGTTGGGATGAAGTTAAATGTGGCAAGAATTGCTTCAATGATAGGTTCTCCTTTATGGATTGATGGAAACATGTTCCAATGGAGTAAAAGGGATATGCTAGAGTTTGTGTTTGCATGGCTCTAGACAAACAATTTCCTATGGGTGTTTGAGTGGAAGGTTTGGGTGGTCATTTTTTTTTTCAAAAAGTAGAGTATGAAAAAATTTCCACATTTTGTTCCAAATTTGGGAAAGTTGACACCTCATTGGTGATTGTAAATTGAATAATAAATCTTGTTCAAATGAGGGTGTTTCAAGGCCTGAAGAGGTTGCTACTTTGCCTGATAAGTCTACTCCAGATTTTTTTTTTCGTGCACACTCATGAGTGTTTTTGAGTCTACTCCAGATGATGAGAGTAAAGGACTTTCTTATGTTCCTTGGGTTCATATTATTAATAGGTGGAGGAAGGTTTTTTCTAGTGATCACAGAGACAATCAGATGAATGTTGCTAATTCTAGGTGCTCGTATGCTGGTCTTATTTTGGTTAAAAAATTCCAGCCAGTAAACAAAGTCTCTCAGGCTTTTGGTTTGGAGAAATGTGTGGCACCTAATTTAAATAAAGTGGTGGTTGTTAGTCACAACCAGGAGTTGACGACTTCAGCTGAAGATGTTATAGGGTGTGCTGAACCAGAAGAATTGGATGGTGTTGCAGTTGTTACCCCAGTTGTCATGGCTTCGAGTAGTAAGGTACCTTCTCCTGCTCCTCCAACTTTATTGATGATATGAATAGATACAAAATTCTGGAATCTTGTAGAGAAGAAAATGAGGAAAATCCTGGGTAGCCTTTGGAAGGAGAAATAGAAGAAGATGAATTTGCTGTTGAAGATAAGAAGATTTATAGATCCAATTCAGGTTTTGTGGATGAAGGTTCTTGAGTAATGAAATTCAAACTTCAAAAAGAACTTATATCTTTGTGTAAAGATAATATTCTTCTACAAAGGAGGAAAGGGGATGTGTTGAATAGGAGTAAAAATGGGAGCAATCCCAACTCTAATCATAAATGTCATCAATAGTTTTTTGGAATTGTAGGGGGGATAGGAAAAATGAAGCCTCCCATTATTTAAAGGAATTTGTGAGACTTTGATATTTTATTTGTTTGGCTTGTTGAGACAAAGATTTCTTCTGTTAATAGATTTGAATTCAATAAAATGATTGGAGCTAGTTGGGATTTCTTCCTTTTTCCTTCGGAAGGTTTGTCTAGTGGTATTATGGTATGTTGGAGGTCTGATGTTGTTTCTTTATCTGTGATAGAAGCCTCTCCTCAAGTAGTAGTGGGTGAGTTAAGAATTCCAAACAAAGGTGTGTGGTTGGTTGCTACGGTTTATGGTAGCAAATATACTTATAAGAGGAGAATCTTCTGGAGAAGTCTAGAAGCTTTTTCGGATAGGAGTCT